TGTCACATTAGTTTTTTTATGTCTCCCTTCTGTCACACTGTAAAATGTTCCAGGACCACTTGACACTTCCTCTTCCTTTGACCTGGAAAGAGATTTTCCCTAAAAATTTCCTGAGTCCTCTTAGGGATAAGAAAATTTAGACACCAGGGTTGTGACTCCCACAAGTTGTGTTTATTGCTTCTGGGGTGACATCAGTTCTGAACCTTTTACGTGCGCAAACTAGTTTCTTGATGGTCATTTTAGTAAAATAGCGCAAAGTTCTTTCCCACCTTCCTCATATTATGTCTCCTGCCTCTCTCATAAGAAGCCCTAATTCCTGATTATCCAATTTATTCAGCTATTTTGCTCTTTTATAATTCATTTAGGAAGAGCGGGCAAGCAGGAGGCTCTAGAGCCAGACACGAAGGAAAGGAGCAAGGAGTAGTCACCTGGAGGCAGCAGAGTCAGCACCCAACGAGTCGGCGGAGCCAGGAGGACCATGATACCTCCACTGAGGGTGCAAACGCATCCAGCCATAACCCCCATAAATCCAAAAGTTTCTCTTCCTGAGCAAGAAATTAAAACTCTAAAAGAAGATGAGGAGGAACTTTTTAAAATGCGGGCAGTTGTTCCGATTTGCTTCAGAGAATAATAGTCCGGAACGGAAGGAGAGAGGCACCAGCCATGTCAAGCTCTTGAAGCAGAAGGAGAAGGGGACCCTCCGCCTCCTCATGAGGAGGGACAAGACCCTGAAAATCTGCGCCAATCATTATATCACGCCTACGATGGAGCTAAAGCCAAATGCTGATGGTGACCGAGCCTGGGTGTGGAATACCCACGCTGACCTTGCTGATGAGTATCCCAAGCCGGGGATGCTTGCCGTCCGCTTCCTAAATACTGAGACTGTACAAAATTTATAATTCATTTAAAACTGTTGCAGAATAACCACCCTTTCATCATTACTAAGCACATTAACTGAATAAAATTTGGGTTTCTTTATAATTTATTTTATCATTAAAACATTGCCCCAAGGATAGAGTCAGAATATATTGTGATTAAAGTTTACTTGGGTTAATTTTATTTTTTTAATTTTTAATTTAATTTAATTATTATTATTATTTATTTATTTATTTATTTATTTATTTTGCGGAACCAGGGATTGAACTCAGGCCCTTGGCGCTTGCCAGGGAAATGTTTAGTCCACTGAGCCGTCTCCCCGGCCTCTTTATTTTTGTACCTATATCACAGCAATTTGATATAGAGTTATTTTATCGGTTTTCATGTGTTCAATTTTAAGATTTGAACTTAATCTTTATTTTAAGTAAAAAGGCAACCTGTAAAATAGTTTCAATCATAGGTCAGTACTTACATTATGAGGGAAAATATTTTGGGTTTTTTATATTTATTTATTTATTTATTTATTTATTGTATTTATTGTATTTTAGGGAAGGGTCTACAGGGTGCCCAGGGTCCCACTACTAGATCGGACTCATAGTGATCTGCATGTTTACAGCCTCCCAAGAGCTGAGATTACGGATGCCCGCCACCACGCACAGTCTCAATTGCTGTCTCAGTGCGTCCCGTGGATTGAACCTCCAGCCCGTGAGCCTGGTTGCAGGTGCTTTAATCCACTGAGCTATTTGGCCGGCCCACAGGGGAAGTTTAAAAAAAAAATATTTATTTGCTTACTTTTGAAATGGGTAGAATGTAATAGAAATTAATCATTGTTTCCAGGAAGAAAACTGGATCACTGAGAGAGGAGTTGGACAGATTACTTACTGGGAGACGCTTTCCACTGTGTACTACTGTACTTTTAAAATGTTGAAACACGACTATGTTATTCATGAAAAATAAAATGCTGAGGGTAGCTCAGTAGAAGACTGCTTGTGTAGTGTGTAGGAAGCCCGGATTTACATCTCAGCAATCAGAAGACTGCAGAAAGTTGGAGTCCAGCCTGATCAGTTTAGCGACTTAGCGAGGTTCTGTCTCAAAATAAAAACAAAGGGGATGGAAATGTAACTCAGTGTAAAGGCTATGAGTTAGGTCCCACTCAGTACAGCAGAGAGAGAGAGAGAGAGAGAGAGAGAGAGAGAGAGAGAGAGAGAGAGACTCACATTCACATGCATGAACACACAAATTATCATAACAAATAAATAACAAAAATAATAAAATTTAATGGAGAAAAACTTACTTTCTTCCATTCATCCCTTAAGACCATCATAAGACAATGTAAATCCAAGGAATTTTATCCAGACCCTCCAAACAAGATCTCAGTTAGGGTTACAGTACCTTGACTGAGGTCTCTTCTGCAGTGAGTCACACCAGCGAGAAGGCTGCACTTTCCAATCCACTTGAATTGCGTCCCCTGGATGTTTCCATGAGCCATCTGAGCACATACTTGAGCAGTGTCTAGATGTGCTTGTTAAGTTTCTTAGGAATCTTTTTAATGATTCAGTGCATTCCCTCTCTGAGCTGCATTTTGTCACTTTCAACATTCAGCAGATGTATTTGGCTCATGAACAGTTTTTGATTCTCATAGATGAAGAATTTTTCATTCTCTCTGTGCTGCCTGGTATTAGAAGCACATTTTCAGTTAAATCTCTTTCTTTCTATGTCTCTTTGTCCTTCTGTTTCTT